TAAAAGTGAGGACTGAGGTGCCAGGTGAACGCATTCCAGTTGAAGAGGGAGACGAGGTAGAACTTTCGCCCAGCATGACTAAGCGATATCAGGCATTAACGGCTAGAGCAAATTATTTAGCTCAAGACAGATCGGACATACAGTATTCAGTAAAAGAACTTGCTAGGACAAAGCCAACTATGGGTTCATGGAAAGGCCTAGTCAAGCTAGGAAAGTATTTGAAGTATCACAGCAGAAGCAGATACGTGCATTAGTATCAAGAACAGCCTCGAGAGTTGACGATTTGGACGGACACAGATTACGCAGGATGTAAACGAACTAGGAAGTCTACGAGTGGAGGAGTAGTGATGTGGGGTAAACACTTCATAAAATCTTGGAGCACAACTCAAAGTGTAATTGCATTATCGTCAGGGGAAGCAGAATATTACGGGCTTGTGAAAGGAGGATCAGTCGGACTAGGACTTCAGGCAGTGTTGAGGGATTTTAACTTGGAAGTTGAGATCACCTTGAAAAGTGATGCCACGGCTGCAATCGCAATTGCGAGTAGACGAGGTTTAGGAAAAGTAAGACACATTGAAGTATGTCAACTGTGGCTGCAGCAGAAGGTAAAGGAGGGAGCGATTCGAATTGTGAAAGTAGGCACACATGAGAACGTAGCAGATGCATTAACCAAGTATGTCAGTCGTGAGAGCATGAGCACACACCTGCTAAACACAAACCAAAGTGCATTAACAGGTCGGCACAGCCTCGCGCCGGCCACCGAGTGTTGACATCCGCAGCTCATTTCTGTCAAGCAAGCAGTCTCGATTAAGGCTTCCTCCATCCTTTACCTCTCTCCCTCGAGCGTGAACGAAAGCATGGCGGACCACCAAGTCAACGTCACGATCAACGGCGCGGCGGTCGACCAGAGCCCGCCTGGGGCAGGACCGGTTACGCGCGAGAACCTCAATCGCCGTGTCGACGATATCGTCAACGTGGCTCATGTGTTTACCGTGACCCTCACCAACATGGCCATTAACTTCCACGGGGCCTATGATAAGCACGTTGACGAGATGCAGAGGGTTGCCGATGACATGGCGCGGAGGACCGTTGACTTAACGCAGCAGAACACCGCGTTGGTTCACGCCAATGACGATGTCAGCGAGAACCTCAAGAGGGCGCAGGACGAGGTTAACAACCTTGTGGCGACGGTGACAGAGTTGAACATCAAGAATCGCGACTCGGAGGTTAACACGGCGGAGAATGCAACCAAGTACAGGCGCATTAACGAAAATATCGGTTGCCTCTTGTATACCGCCAGGCGCCTTACCGAGAACATCGCGCCCCTGCAGGACTTCGAAGGTAAACGTGATGCGGCGCTACGTATGCTAGTGGGAGTTACCGAGAGGCTTGAGGGTTTGCAGAAGTTCTTGGATGACCCGATCAACTCCTCGGTTACCATTATTCCGCAGGTGCCGCCGCCGTTGCCTGGGTCGCCCCCGACGGCAGCACCCGCCAAGGCGCCACCCGTTGCCGCCACCGCGGCAGTCGGGCCCATGGCCACGGGCGCGCCCCCAGTGCAGCAGGTTAACGTGGCTCCGCCAGGCAAGGCTCCCCCTACTCAGGACCTGGCCGGCGTAACCACTAAAGCCGGGGGGGGTCGACGGTCCGCGTCACCGAACAAGATTCGACCGTCACCGTTGAGCCGGCAGGGCGGTGAAGAGCCACAGCCTGTTTACAAGCGGGCGCCGAAGGCCATGCGTGAACGTCAACGGGAGCTGGAGGAGTTGATGCAGATAGGCATGAAGATGGACGAGGATCGAACGGTTGGTGGTCAACGTGATGAGGCGCCAAAGGACCCTGCCCCCGTCGTAAATGCGAGGCCGGCCAAGCCGCCCCCTCTGGGGCTCGGCGAGTCCAGAGCGGCAAGCAGCGTTACCGGCGTGAAGCCCCCGCCTCCAGAGCCCAAGAGGTTACCGATCCAGCACATCCCGCCACCGCAGCCTCAAGTCGTTAACCGCACGACTGATCAGCTTGAGGGGTGCTCCAGGACCGTCGCCAAGGCGGTGTACCGCCCGCTGTACCACGTCAACGGTCGCATGCCCATGCTGAGCGACAGGAGCGACGACTACGACGTTAACTTTCGGGCGGAACCTGACCCCAGGGAAGTGGTAGCCTTAACGATGAAGACACGTGACAACTGGCGCAGGTTTGAGGGTAACTTCGTCGGGCACGTGGCGAAGGCGGGGTTAACGACCCCTGGCGGCAGGTCCATTCAGGGCAACACAGGGCGGGAGCTTAACGATTACGATGACGTGTTCGTTGACATCTTCGGCCAACATGCTTATGGTTTCATCGGCTATGCCGTGTTGAAAGGTCCGATCAGCTGGAGATCTCAGTTAACGGACAAAGAGTTGACCAAGCATGATGAATGGGTTGACGCGGTTGGGCACGTGCAGTCCCTATTTGACGATGACTACGTGCCACCACTCAACATTAACGAGCTTCACTCATCGTGGTTTGAGCTCCACAGTTGCCCGGACACGCAGGTGTACGTCAACAAGGTGCCGGAGATGAACGAGAAGCAGCTTAACGGTCTCCTCTTAACGTGGGCAGGAATGCTGCCCCACGGCAACCCCACCGTGATCTCCGTTAAGCACCTGGTGGAGGACACCCATGGGCCGCACGGTTACATCTCGACTGGAGTTACCGTGTTTCGCTTTGCGACGCCTGATCTCGCCAGGCTTTACTGCCGTTACATGAACGGGCTCCAGGTGCATTACCGTAACTACTTCATCGACGACCTCGAGGTCAGGAGCACCGAGGAGTTAAAGGGCAGCATCAGCAAGCCTCCAGTCTACTGGCACCAGACCATCTTGGACGTTGCCCTTAACGATCGGGGATCCATGAGGGCACTTTACCGTGATAATTGGCCGGCCGATCATGTCACCGAGCGTAAAAGCGATCACCGTGAGAAGCTTTGCTGGTTTGGCTGGTTACCGTGCGACGACTTCCCCAACCGGCTTACCGATCCGGCCCGGACTGTGAACCCGTTTACAGGCGCTGCGGTCGAAGAGCACCTCCGTAACAATCCAGGCGGTGGGCCTCTGTTAAAGGCTCCCCACGCCAGTTACTGGAGAGCCATCGGCACTTACCGCAACATCGTTGACGGCTCAATTAAGAGCTACGATGAGGGGTGCTGGCTCGACGACGAGGAGCGCATTAACGCGTACATGGACAACGACTACTACAGCCCGACGCAGGCCCTTAACAGGGTGTCGTCCTACACCGCAGCCGGCGTGGGACACCGCGGGTTACCGAGGTCGAGGGGTTCACGAGCCCCGTCGGCGAGGCGCCCGCGCCGTTCGTGAAAGACGGCAGGCAGTCAGCATGCTGCAGTTTACGCTCTTCCTCATTTCCCCTCTTAACTTGGCTTAACGATCGAGTGGCGGCAGCTTGTTGAGCTGAGTTTGTTTGCATGCGCATCTCTTGTTGTTACCGCAGGTATTGGCGGATAAAAAGCGAAAGCAATCAAAATCATCCAAATGCTAGCCTGCTGTGTAAACTTTAGATGCTTCGTTTGAACTTGTGACAGTAAAAGCGTTTACTCGAGCTCAGGTTACATGTGTGAGAAATTTGGTGCTCGTAAACGCCGTCGCGAGACATTTCGAATTCAACAGTATGATGAAGAGACTTAACGTCATTTGCGTGCGACGTTTTGCATAGTTTGACTTGTTTTAGTGATTGTAGACACCTCCCCGTCAGCCTATACGGACTAGCGTCCGAGGGGGGGTGTTGACATGTAAGCATTCAGGTGACTGGGGAGGGAAGGTGCCCCCGTTACCTTTGGCTCAAGTGTTTAACGGCTGAAGCTACCGAGACTCGCTTCGCCGTGCGGAAGTAAAAAGGTGACTGATCGTCATAGCTGTCACCGAGCTCCCGCGCAGAACCCTCCCCGGGGTTTTGCAGGGGAGGAGGAGGCCCAGAGGCTCGAAGGCCCTGGTTCGGGGGAGGCGGGGCCTCCAGGGAGGAGAGGTCGAGCGCCTGCTCTGCAGGCCTGCGGGTCGAGGCTCCAGGCGGGGCCTCCGGAGAGGAAAGGTGGGCTCCTGCTCTGCAGGCGCTCGAGCCTCCTGGAGGCCCTGGTTCGGAGGAGGCGGGGCCTCCAGAGAGGGGATAGTCGAGCTCCTGCCCTGCAGGCGCTCGAGCCTCTCGGGACGGGGGGGGGGCCGAGGGCAGGGGCCGGTCGCCCTTGCTGCGGCTCTTTCTCTTGTTGCCGCCGCGTTGTCTCTGGCCCCCTTGCTCGTCCAGATCTCGCCGGTTCACGCCCGCGCGGTGCGGGCAGAAAGAGCACAAGGGCTCCCACGGCGGCGCGAAGTCATTCGCGTTTCGCGGTCCTCGTTCCTTCTCCCCCTCCTCCTCGTCCTCCTTTTCTCCCTGTGGGGGGGCGGCGCGAGAGCGCGAAGTTATTCGCGCTTCGCGGAGCGCGAAGCGCGAAGTTGGGAGCCTTAGGAAGAAGAGAGAGGTGGGGTGGGGAGGGGGGAGGGAGAGCCAGGAGGACCCAAGGAGGCGGAGGAAGTGAGAGGCAAGTGGGGGAGCCAGGGGAGGGAGGAAGGAGGGAAGCGGGTGGACATAGGCGTAGGGAGGAGGGCGGAGGCGGGAGGAAAGAGGGAAGGGAGAGGGGGGTGGAGGGAGGGAGGAGCGAAGCGTGAAGGTAATTAAGGGGGAGGAGGGGGGGAGGAGGAAGCAGATTGAGAGAACAGGGGCGGAGATGAGCGGAGAAAGGACGGGGGGGCGGCATGAAGGAGAGCTAAGGAAGGAGGAGGGAGGGAGAGAGGAGAGAAGAGAGAGAGAGAGAGGAGACAGCAAAGCGGACAGGAGGGAGGGAGGGAGGGAGGGAGGTGGAGGAGGAGGAGGTGGAAGACGAGGAGATTAGGGAGGGTGGGAAACCAGGATGACGATGAGGAGGATTAGGAGGAGGTGGAAGACATGCGGAAGGGAAATGAGATGGTCACAGTCGCCAGGTACACGTGTCGCTTCATCATTGGTATCGAGAACGACAAGGAGTTTCAGGCGCCGCTTTCCGCGAGGAGGAAGAGCAGGAAGAGGAGAAACGGATGGAGTTGGAGGGGGATGAAGACAACTGTTGAATATAATTCTGGCCCCCTTAGGCTTAGCCCCCAGTCCCCATGGAGTCCGCGGAGCCCGCACAGCTCTAGAGTTGCTGCAGTCGTCCAGTTCCCTTGTCATGCACCCGATGCGCCAAGGGGAGGGCGATTGCGCGACATTCGCGCACGAATGGCCCTCGCGAGGTCGCGCGCGAGCGCCACCTTTTCCATGCAGTGTGCCGCGCGTGGGGGCTTGCACGAGCAACCGCCTCAAGGCGTCGCTTCTTCACGCGCAGGGCTCAGCGGTTCCTCGTCCTCCAGTCGGTGGTGCACGCCGTGCCGAGCCGAGCTGTCGTCGGAGAGGCTGCGGAGGAGCGCGGCGCCGAGCGGGGCGTTCCTGGCGTTTTTCTTGCTTGTTGTTTTTGTTGTTGTTGTCCTTCTCACGTCTGCTGCTGCTGCTCCTCACCCTCCTGTGTATCTCCATCCTCCCCCCCTCACGGAAGTCCCCTGGGGGGGTGCGGTCGACCAGCCCGCCATGGATCACGGTGGTTGTTTGTCTACGGTCGGCTGCACACGTCCGCATTTGCACACGTCAAGCATACCACTCCGTATTGCTTGGTATGCTTGTACGCCGGTCGTTGAAAGTAGGCATTTTGGATTTCCAGCTCCCAGTCTACTTGAGCCGCCTCTCTATTGCAAGGATCGACTTGTTTCTCCTATTCCTTCCTCTTCAGGGGGCGGGCGGAAATCCAATCTACTTCCAACGCCTTTCTACTTTATAGTTCTACCCTCTTCTTCGACCGACGGGTAATTTGGCAACAGTGCTTATGACATGTTTGCATTGGTCGTCATTCGTTTTAGCAGAGGATGTGCACATCATCCCTGCCTCCTCGCTTCTCCCCGTTTCCATAGCCATTTTGGCTCAAGGCACCCATCCAGGCGAATACGGAAGGTCTTTCGCATCGTACCAGGTCCCCTCCCTTGCACAGCCACACTGTTTTTGCTCGTTCGCCCTTCCTGTTTCTCTCTCTCTCTCTCTAGCGCGCTTTGTTTGATGGCAGATCTTGATATGTTCATCTCGGACGACGAGGGAGGCGCCAAGAAACTGAAGACAGGCGCAGCGGTGCCTGGCGCGGGCGGCTCCTCTGGCTCAGGCGAAGCTCCACCGCTACCCCCTGGCAGTGACGACCTCAGCGAGGCAGAAATGAGATCGATTAGAGCAATGAGCATTCAGACAAACTCTTTACTCTCTTCTCATACGATTCCTCTGACTGCAAAGATTGGCATGGTTCAGTTGAAGACCTGACGCGAACGAGACGGCCACCAGGAAGGCCACCGAGAAGATCACTACTTTAGAGACTCGCATTTCCAATTTGGAGAACGGACGCACGGGAGACGGCACCGGTTCTGCTGGAGGCGACGTCGGCTCTGTTGTTGGGTCGGTTCAGTCGGACACTCCAACAACGGCCTTTGCGTTCCGAGTGCCAGTGACGAAGCGGAGACGGTATGTGTGGGTGGGTATGCTTATGGCGAGGGCGCTGTGCGGCAGGATGAGCTCTCACATGCAAGCTTCGCCAGACTGGGTTCAGCGCGGAGAACGGCAATCTGGCGAGGGTCTACGCAGCGGGGTCCTACACGGAAAGGTGCAAGATCGAGTTCCCGACCAGCGAGCACATGTGGTCTCTTATCAAGGCAATGAAGGGGCATAATATCCCCAGTATCCATGTTGAGACTGGTCGCCCGCCGCACCCCGCTCACGCGAAGCATCGCTGCTTGTGGCACTCGACAGACAAGTATCCCGAAGAGATTGCATGTTCCGCTCGTCGTCGCCAGGCCAGGAAGACCGTGATCGAAGTACTGCGAGAGAACGATCCCGCGGTTTCGGTTGAGGACCTCGAGAAAATGGTCGAGTCCACGAGAAATATGGGCAGCGTGGTTCTTCTGAGGAGATTCGTTCCGAAGATGCAGAAACCGTTTCCACTTCGCATGTATATGAGTGCGTACCCGACGTATTTGCTCAAGGCCGCGCCGGAAACCCAGACGGTACTGGACGTTTCAGGAGTTAGAAACGACCCTCCGAGAAACTTCTGAGATGCAATGGTCGAGGCGGCAAGAGCCGCCAGCGGTAGCTTCGATTCCAGAGCCGATCTTGTGATTGCGGGATGGAACGATTGCCCAGAGTGTTCCGAGTCGCAGGGCGGCAAAGTGTTTCGAAGCGTTCGAAGATGAAATTTAATGGACCATTAGGTGCCTGCAGGAGTACACTAACGCACGGCGGCATGCCGCTGCTGACGCTGTTGGTCACGCAGTTTTCTGTGGTCCTCCTACACGGGGGAGTCCTTGATTGGTCAAGGACCTACAGGCCTCGTCAAACATAAACAGAAACAAAGTTGGAAATCACGACGATCGATCTTCTCGGGGACCTGTTAGAAACTGCGTTCTTCAATGCTGCGGAGGGGTCGTTGGATTTTTGAAGCCCTTGCGTCCACGTCAGATATCTAGCGTCAGCATTGGAGTAGCGCTGACCATACAATCACCGAAAACAGAATCCCTCAGATTATTTTTGGCGAGGGTTGTAGGGGTCACGCGGCCGTGGTCTTCCACGTTTCTGGCGACTCTGTAGGCTTGCCCAGGCATACTTCGCAACGCTAGGGGCCCCGCGCGGTAGGATCGGCAGGGTGGACAGGCCACCTCGCTCGCGAAATCTTCTCCGTGATTGCGCTCTCGGCAGCAAGTGCCCGGGGGCACATCCGCGCGCGCCAAGTAACTTGTTTCTATAACTATTCCGGTGAACTTGGGCAGATTGATCATGTCTTCGTTCCGCGCGGCCTGCCGCGGTCTGCCTTTACAGTCGGCGCGCGACGTGCGGCATCGTCGAAAATCGATATTTCATTCATTTTGTTTTGCGCTCTCGGTGCCCCGAGCCCGAAATTCGCATGTCGTCCCGCGACGCCGCCCCCGCTCGCGTCTGAGCATCTTTTCCGGGCGCGGACGGACCGCGGCATGCGCAGGCAGCGTGGCGAGGGTTTTGGTTTTGATGCCCCAGACCACTGCGCGGCTGCTAGCTTTCGATTGTTCTCTGATGGCCATTTCAAATCAAGAAAGCGTAGAGCCACGCGACGCACGTGGAGGTTGAATGCCCGTTCAATCTCCCCCGCGCCCACTGAGCCCCGCGACGCGTTGTGATTTCAGGCTCGCGGCGCAGCGGTCTTGGACATCGCCGATCCCAGGTGCGTCGGTGCGATGCGACTGACCAGCGACGCAGCTGAACTGGCACGCGCGGGTTCTTTCGTCGAGGTTTTCTTCGGTTAGTCCTGCGCATTGGGAATTCTTCGCGTTTCACCCCCATGCGCAACACCCCGATGTCTGAGGTGTTATCTCTTCTTTGGCCACGCGCGAAGAGGGCGCGCTTTGCCCACGCTAGGTGGGCCAAGGGCCACATGGGCACCCAGGGCAACGAACTCGCGGGTTGTTTGGCTATAGTAGGAGGCGCGCCCAGCTCCGCGAGTCGACGCAATTGGTGCGTCGAACGATTTTACGTTTGCATGGGCGACGCTCTCCATTCTCCCCCCTCTCGTCTCCGCTTTCGCGAGGCGCCGTGTGAGGGGGCTGCTTTCCTGTCCGGCGCGGGGCCAGACCGCTGCCGCGAGGCGCGTTCCGCCCTGCCCGCGCCTCGTCCGCGCTGCGCCGTCAGGCAATTTGCCCGGGCAGCGAATGGTCGCTGGAGCGCGCCGGGCGAGCCCCGGCACTTGCGACGCCCCCGACGGGGCCCGGGTCTTGGTTAGGAGGGTGGGAATGGAAGGGAGTTGCCTATTTTGCGTTCCTTCGCGGAGGTTGTCTCGACCGCTGCGGCGCGACGCGGTCTCCCGTGGAAGAGCCCCAGGGGCCCCAAATTGCCGGAGAACCATTCCACGGTCGCATTGGTCCAAGAGGGTCAACTATGAGATCCGCGGAAACCGACGCAACGCTACGGCGCCAGATTAGTCGAGCCACGGCGTTGGAACGCCGCGCCTTTGCTCGCTTGCAGGCGGAGGAACGCCTGACTGCTGCCCCTGCTAAGTCGGGGGCGATCGCGGAGAGAGGGCGCGCGAGCACCGTGATGGCGTCGTTGGAGGAGGGGGGTGCGCTGACGACGGGCCACGATGTGTTGCGACGGATTGCGCATGAGTTGTGCGTGAAATTGTTCTCTGACCCACGGCGCAGATCCGCGCCCGATTGCGTCGCGCAGCGTTGGGGGCGGGGCGATCTCGCCAATTCGCCGCCTGCGGGCGCGCGCCCGCTTCGCTTTGTTGCAGTGCGCGAAGAAGTGTCGGACTTGATCGAAGGATGATATGCTCGTCGCTGAAATGTTGCAGGCGGTCAGCGATGACGCTCTGTCGTTTCTCGCTGACACGTGCATCTTCAGGGTTCTCAGCCACCCGACGGAGGATGCGGATCCCCCGCGGGGCCGCCATGACATTGTTTAATCGGCAAAACTTTACGGAACCAGGAACGTCAAGGATTTAACGCTTCAAGCTTTATTATCATGGTTTTGGGGCATCTGTCGGGGCTACAACGAGTGCCCGCTCGCGAACCGCCACGCGAAGCTATCGACATGGTGGATCACAACAGGTGGATGAAGAGCCGCGCCTTGCGGAACGTTCCGCGTGTGATCTTTGCTGTGAGGATCAGGGAGGCGTGCCGAGGTCTTTCCAGCATCGGCGCGCCAGCCTCGGGCCCAGCAGAGGGCATGCCGCGCGCCCGCTCGACGCCGCGAGGGGGCCCTGAGGCGCCGAGGGGGTTCGCCTACGATTTAGACGAAACCGCGGACGCGCGCGCGGAAGTTAGTCGGACAAACCGCTGGGCTACCCTTTGGAGGCCGAGGAAATTCGCCAACTGGATCTCTCGAAGGCTCACAACGGCACCCATAGACGTGG